CTGGTGAGTATGGCGGATGAGGGAGAGCTTCCAACCCCAGCTCTTGCAGCTTGGAGACTGTCTGTTGCGCAGTATGGGGTCGCGCGTTGTCCTGAAGGAGCAGTGGGGACGACCGATTGACCAAAGCTGGTTGCAGATGTGACCACCAGACCTTGCACCTACCGACTATTACTTTTTCCAAAATATAGACAACTTTTTAGTAGGTAAAAAATTCAATTCCCGAGAGGCAGTACAAAATGCCTTTGAAGAGTTTGTTGCCTCCCGTCCAGCTGATTTATACAAGAAGGGCATCAATAAACTGCCAATGCGTTGGCAAAGATGCGTCGATTGCATGGGTGATTACTTCGAATAACAGAAATAAAAAAGTTTGAAAAAATAAGTACTTTCACTTATTGCATACAAAACGGCAATTTCATAGCTAAAGACCTTAATACCTATTCATGCGGAAAGTAGAATGCAATACTTTACATTACTGGTGAATATTTTGAATTTTTGCATAAATGCATGTGCCACAAATAGTTTTGCATACCTTTTGGTGGAATATGTAAGCTAATTCAGTGTGCCTTCTCCTTGTGTGTAGATATTCACATTTGAAAAGGAATGAAGGATTCGATAAATATGTTATTAAATTGTAATTAGTTGAACAGTTTCTTCCTTCGCATAATAAGAAATGGAATTCAATGCAAATTTGTTGATGACAACAAGTGTCGCAAGGGAATGAGTATGGCTCGAGCGCGGAATGTTTTTTCGGTAAGGCAATACGAGTATTTCTTCTAGTCCCTTTCCCGACATCGCGCTTCACCGAAGCCACACGCTTCGCTTCTCCATCGCTTCAGCTTATGACTTAATAGGCGCGGTAATGTTCCGGTGTACACGCCTACTGAGCCATACAATACAATATGTTCCTTTACAAAATAAACTACCGCCATTGTTAATAGTTAGAACTTTGTTATGTTAGTGTGCGAGTGTGTTTCCATTTAAATTAGCATTAAATTTCAGGATAATGTCATAACTCAGATTTAAAAGCTACGTTTCTTAAACAGCGAGTTACTGAAGTTTAGAACTTAAAAGTAAAGTTTAGAACTTAGAAGTATAAAACTCGATATATTTATTTTTTAATAACACAAGTAAGAGTATAATAAAGCACGAAATAACGTGTTGGAATCGTTTAACAATGAAGAAAAACTAATATCGTGAAAATCGTGCCATGCGTAGCAGCTAGCTACGCGGCGTGGATCTCTACGGATAATGTTGCCAATATTAGCTAGTTACACTCGTAAAAGAATAACATACCTACAACAACATATGAAGGTGGCTGCGATACCCGTCGCGTAGATAGTTAAAACATTTTTTATGTAATTTTTTAAGTATAAAAGCACAAAATTATCAGTTATATCAGGTAAATATTGGCAATGGAATATGAAAAGGAAACTAAAGAGGAAGACCAGCCTTCCACAAGTAAAAAAACAAGTCCTGATGAAAACATGATCGATAATACGAGGGATGATGAAACAGAAACTAATAGTGAAACTTCGGTGACTGGTTCTTATTTTGCGAGGAGCAGAGTAGATATGGCAGATATATAAGATATAACATACCTACATTACTAACGTTACTTATATATTATAGGAGAACAGCACAGCAAACTAAGGTTGTACTTGACGAACAAAAATACATACTTAGCGAAGACGAGATGACCTATTATATCAATCTTAAATAATTCGTTCTTAAATTAAATGCTTAAATTATCCACACATATCATTACACACAAACACACACACACACACACACTTACGTAATACACCTTTCGAACAAAGAAACAACAGCTGACTTTTTCGAGAGCTTTCTACTACATTTGTTAAAAAAGAAAGGATGTCTGCATTTTCGTAAAAATCAACATTTGACCTTGTTATAACCGGCGTGTGTGTGAACTAATAATAATTACCCGATGTCTAAGGCCGATGCCCTTTACTTATAACTTACTTAATCAATATAACTTAAAAACTACTCAAATTTTTCCTTGTTACTTTACTGAATTTAGGCACTAATAAAGCAATATTTTATAGTAAAATAATTATAGCTGTCGTAAGAGCCGACTAAGGGAGAAACTACGCAAGACAAGACCACTGTAAAGAGAAGGAAAACTTGAAACAAACCCTATCCCAAACCCGTTTGGCCAGCGTGGCAAAAAACTTCTTTTTAGGCTCTCCTAAAACCTAATAGTCTACTACTGGACATAGGGAGAGGCCTATGTCCAGTAGTAGACCATTAAAGTCTGTTGATGATGATGATGAATGTATATACTGCTAAATAACAAAAAACGGCGTGAGGGGTATATGGAACCCCGGTTGGAATGAAGTTCCTTTCGCTTCGTGATATTATATCTTATATACTATATCATATTTTCATTGAGAATTTTATTGAGAATGGGTAAGTTATAGTTACTAGGTAAAGTTTTTAATTTAATTGGTCAGAAAAAGTAGTACATTTTTAATAATATAAATAATTCAGTTTTATTTTTCGGTTTTTTGTGGTTTAGTTAGTTAGTTTTTGTTTAATGTTGGTTTTTAATCTGTTCAATTTTTTTTATGAAATTGTTTATTTTGTCATTTTAGTGTAAGTAATCATAGGTACGCAGTAGGTTAAACTACTTCATATAAGAGGCGAGAGGTAGCAACCTACGGAAAACCACCACCTTCAAATGTTATTCCTGCCGATGCGAATAACTGTGGTTTGATGCATGTATTGGCTCCAGTTATGTTAAGACGCAACATTTCTGTTACCAAAGAGCCTGGTCCAAGTATCTTATCCAAATTTAAATGGCCTGCCCTTCGCCGTGATCAAATACAATCAGACGAGTTACCCGATTCAGTTTCTATAAAATACATGCTATACCCGCGACGCTTCTCTGTGGCACATTGTGGTAGCAAAAAATAGATACATAACAATCTTTGAAGCTTGTTGTATATTGTGTCAAAGTTTGAACTGAATCGGTGCAGAACTTTTTGAGTTTTTGAAGCGTACACAAAACAACTTAACAATTTTATATGTATACTTGTACTCGTATATGTATAGATGATGACGACTCTATTACCACAAAATCAAAGCGCCTGTGTCAATGGTTGTTGACACAAGCGCTATGGCAACTAACCCCGTTCAATATCCCCGTAGCTTTTAGTTGCCTGATAAACCTATCAGGCAACTAAAAGCTACAAAGATGTTGAACGGAGATGCTACTACCAATCAGTTGGGGGGCTACGGTGTATAAACTCCAGGGCAGGTTTATGCAGACTAATTGTAAATATCTAAATTAGAACACTAATACAAGCTATGTATGTAGAGCAAGTTGCTAATCCAAGCCTCATGTCTTTCCTTTCCTGTATATTACAGGTTATTATGTCGCTATCTTAAAGTATCATCTAACTCTTAACCGTTAAAGAGGTTTACCTTCCATTAGCTCACCTGAATGACTTGAACGAATACAACTAAAAGTCATACATATGGTATTTAATGAACTATCCTCCAACTCCTAACCGTTTAGGAGTTCTACCTTCCATCACTAACTCATCAACGCGAGGTAATGCCTACTATATGCCTGAATAGCTTTAGAAAATATATGAAACACATAATACATGCCTATAAAATTTGAGGGTTGCCCTCGATTTCCCTAGGATCCCCTCATCAGATCTCGAGTTAGAAAATAACTTTTTGAAAAATCTAGTCATGTGTTGACCTTGTTTTATTCTTTCAAAATATTTGTTAACTGATTGTGTGGGGTTACAGTGATATGTGCACAAGAGAGTAATAAATGAGATTAATAAACATTATATTTTTTATTTGGGATTATATATATTTCCCCTTTAGTTTCATTCAGATGTAAAGAAAAAAATACGACTCCTAGTTTTGGAAAATTAAGTATTGTGGTAAACAATATATTTTCGGGTTCAAATGTAACAACTTACTACCTTATCTAAATAAAGTAAAGGACTTATTAAACTACATTTAATATAATCTAACATACTGCAGTTTAGTACTATACATTACGATACGTGGTGTTTTAAATATTGTACTTATCTACTCATTACAAACCTATCTTACACTAAAAATGGTAAAATAAATATTTTCTTTTTAAAGAATTTAAATCTTATATCGTCCCGAGTGGCAGCGGCAGGCAGGATCGGAGCGGGCCTATAAATATTGCATATAAGGATGTCCTGTGGTATAGTCCTATCATAATAATAGTATAATTAGTTACTTCACAGTGATACCACATCAGTAGTATTAGTATCGTCTACATTGCACCCGTGCGAAGCCGGAGCGGATCGCTATTAATTATACTGCTCCGGCCGATGCCACCCGGGACGGACGCATAGCCTGACGGCGAACGCAGCGACGGCCACTTTGCTACCGCATTTTAAACCTCTTATATCTTCTAAAATATTCATCTAATACCTTTAAATTATTATATTATATATTCTGAATCTCGGACACGGCTCCTACGATTTTCATGCAGGGGTTTCAGAGGCAATTAATCGATATAGCTACTTTTAATGATATGCTGTAAAGAGCGATTTTAATCTACATTAAATCCACAACGTATCTAACGTATTTAATTGGATAAGGAATAATATTGTATTCTTTAAAATAGCCTTCGCGGACAGTTTTGTAGATCTTTTTAAAATAAACAATTCAATAGTACCTATTATTTTGGTCTATCTCGTAATGGTTAGCCAGTAGCGTTTGCCATGTAAGAGAAGAAAAACATGTTTTTTATCACCAAGAGGTGAAAATCGCAATAAAATCCGTTGCTTAGTTCAAAAGATCTAAGCAAGTGCGTGGTTACCAGAGTCGGAAAAAAGTCTTGTTACACATTTTTCGGCCCAGTCCCCATCCGCTCAGTGTGTAACGCGCGATAAGGAACTTCCTTCCACTAATAAACTTCATATTTTTTGTTCTAGATAGGGTGGGCTCGAGATTGAAGTCGGCAGCAGGGTGTGGTGATGGAGGTGGTAATATTAAAAGCGAAAGCCCAACTGAATCGTCTCGTGTCGTCCGGTAAGAGACGCGCGGGGAGCAGCGAGCGCGAGCCCCTAACGGAGGGAGGTGGCGGGGGCGCGCGGGGCGGCGCGGGGCGCGCGCGCTCTGGCACCATGGCGCCCGCCGCGCCCGCGCCTGTCTCCGTCGCGCCCTGGCTCAACGCCACGCTCGTATACAACGCCACGAAGCTCAACGCAACATTCGACACAGATTATGAGCTGCTCAATGGGAGCTCCACCGATGAACACAACAATCACTGGTTTTGCGCTAAATGGACCAACGCACAACAAGATCTCTTTCAGGTATTCATTTAGCTTTATAAAATTGGCAAGTCATGTAAACTTCAGTTCTTTATGCAATGTAGCCAATTAGATGTATAGGTATGAGACAACTGATTTAGTACAACGGTTGACGGTGGCTGCATAAATAAAAAAAAATTAAGATCTTTGTAATATGACACATAACGCTGTTAACGATGTTTTTGTAGTTTAGACCACAATTTATATTTAAAGACACTTCTAAAGATATTACTACTACTCAATGTACTTTAAAATTCACTGGACTAATTTGCTTAGAAGATGCGTTAAGGTGGCTACTGCATAAAATAGAAAAGTTACAGAGAAAAATGTCTTTCAATTTAAAAAAGGAGATTTTTTTGTAGTTAGTTTTTAAGTATTCTTGAAAGTTCTTTAATGTCTACACTAACATTATCTTATACTTGTTAAGCTTTTAATCAGTTGATGCAAATAACTCTTACTTCACAAACAGGCGGCAAACTTATGCTTTGCTATTGCGTTCCTGGCGCCAAAGAGCTTCAAGCAGAGCATCCTGGTGCTACGAGCGCTAGCGGCCGCGGGAGCAGTGCTCATGGGCTTATGGGCTGGGGCAGAGGTGTGCGCGCCCGATGTACTTATCTGGAGCCTCGCCTTAGTGCTTGTTAATTCTATACACACTGTATTTTTAATTATAAGGTAAATTATTTAACATGATTCACTCCGCTAATATTCTTTTGCATCCTTATTAATTAAACTAACTAACAAAGAGATATTTATTGACAAAAACAGGGCTTAAAATATAAAGTCGTGATTAAAGGTGTGTCAAACAACAATTGTTATTCGACACCAACAATTTTGTGTTTGAAATAAACATTTATGTTGCTAAATGCGGGATTAAAACTTATTTTGCAGAAAATCCAAAAATATTCTTAATTTGAATCTTAAATGTCACATTCTGTGATTTGTGTGCTAATTGTTTTACTTTCAATATTGGAATAAAACATAGAAGCTTCAATAGCGTAAGATAAGAATGGGCCGTTTAACTTAGCAAATGTGAGATCTTTGTTGTTAAGTATACATATTTATATGGAGGTTCTTGTTCTAGTAACGAAACTATTGTCGCAGGTTCTTACCGCCAGCACTATCACTTGAGCTCACAGAGCTGTACTTGAAGCTGTTTAAGCCGCTGAAAGTCAACAAAAAGCACTTCCAAGAACTGACACGTGAAGCGCGTATAATGCGTCTGGATCCCGGGGAAGCGTACGCGGTTGAAGAAGTGACGCCGGCTGATGAGAGACTTTCTATATTATTGAGGGGAAAGTGTGTATTTTTTATTTTATATTTTTATATTTATAAAAGACAACTCCAGCACTAGGAATTACTTGGACTTTATAAACATACATAAAACGGACACAAAGGACACCCAGACTCAGAACAACAATTTGTGGATCACACAATGTGAGGATGGAACCCACAACACTTAGTGTAGTAGGAAGTGGCGAGGAGACCGCTTAAACCACTAGACCATACGTGCAGTCAAATTTTATTTTTTCATTTCATTTTGGTTAATAATAACCAAATTTGTCATTTCGGAATACAGAGTATTTAAAATACGACAGGTTAGTAGTGTAGACCTACATATAGATTTAAGGTTAAAAAAATTAAACGTCTTCGTCATCTAAATGTTTTTAATAATAACAAGTGGATCTGAATGATATAGCTATAGCATAGCTTGTTCGTTTTGTTTAGTAAGTATTAAAACTGAAAATGTAATTCAGTCTAAGTAGACCCCATTTTTCAAACTCAATTAACGACACATTCATGATTATATTAACCTACCCTAAAATTTAAAAAAAACGTTACGGGAATATCTAAAGGAAGCTAATTAAGTAACCGTCTTACCTACCAGGATGCGTCATCTGTTACAGAATAAATTGAATATTGAATAGCCGTCCCTAAAAAATCTTATAAAGATGAAAATCGTGGGTACAGGGCTACAAAATAAACAATTCAAAGACAAGATACGACCCTCACGATGTAAAATAAGATACCTATAAATCCTTTTGTTTTACTCGTAGAAAAATATTGTTTCTTTAGTTTACCAGTGCCGTTGTTTTCCCGCCATTGTTAGAACTGTGTATTGTTGATCTTGTACTCAAAAGAAACATCATTTTGTATTCCATAACTAATTGACTAGCTCTTGATATTTGGCTTCCTGATCTATTATGTCTTTTCGAACCGACTTCAAATTGTTCTATAAAGCAATGATTGTTTTAATTCATGTAGCATATTAGTATAAATTCAATTAATAAATGCTGTGAGAATAAAAAGCAATAACATTGCATTTGCATTTGGAATCTGTCATTCCTATTTAAATATTTATTGTGTTATTTCATTTTCTTGCTCTTTATATGTGTAAATTTTTCTAGGTAAGGACTTAAATATGATTTCTGATAGTCCTAGACCGGGATATAGCTAGGTATACTGAAATATTCCCTTTTTGCTATAAAATAATTTTGCCGCACACGTAACATTCGTGTTTAAAAGTGGATCCAAGCAGTGAAGCAAACGATGAAAACAAAGAATTCGAAGAAATCCCGATTCTTTGTTTGAATACAAGGTAACATAATAGTCTCCAGAAAGGCGAAATATCGCCATCTCGAAAAGAAGTCAAGGAAAAAAATTACCGGTTTATTCTAGAAAGAGTGCTGTCTAGGGGCTCTTTAATCCTCGTTTATTCTATTTCCGTCACAGGCAGAAAAAAATTGTGTGACTTTAAAGCCAAAACTTAGACTGCAAAGTTGAGTTTCACGGTTGTTACATGTTTTTTTTTTATTTGAACAAACACATTAATTTATATTATGCACACAACAGATGTCTCTGTTGTGTGATATTATGAATACTATTCTTTTAATTATAGTTTTTGTTGTACACCCGTCAGTTGTTACCTAACATACATAGCCAGTGATTTAAGCAATACGCCTATGCAAAAAATATATAACCTGTTTAAAGTATATTTACAAAAGTAAAAATAGCAATATAGGGACGTCCGCAGAGATTCGTAACTCTCATTCCGGATAGTACTCGCAATATGTTAGCATGAAATTGAAGTGCATTAAATCGGAAAACGAGACATCATTTTTTTAAGTTTTTTTATTTCTATGTACATTCACCATTCCTGTACAAAAGTAGCATAACAGCTTAACCCTTGTTTTTATTATGACATATTAAAGTAACACTGCATTGTTTGGGTAGGGCCACTTTGATAATATGCGATATTCCATAAGCTAATGATATTTATTCACCTCGAAGCCATTACAAAGTAAAACACGAAAGGCTAAATAAAATGTAATATAAATAGTATCATGCAGGTACAATTAAAGTGCATGTTATATTAAAGTATGAAGTTTTTGAAGTAATGGTATTTAGCTAGCTAATCCACAGGCTACGCATACGTTAATATCGACTATTTTTTTTTTATTAAATAGTCTATGTGCTATTCCAGACGCTAATCAACCTCTTTACCAAATTTTATGCTGATTTTTTAAGCCATTCTGGTGCGATTGGGTAACGAATAGCCATCCATGATCGATGAATGATCCGTCCATTCAAAACTTATGAGACATTAGAGCAGTCCTTTTCTGGCAAAGCCGCAAAGTTAAATTATCTGCAAGTGGTTGAAACTTGACCATAAGTCATAGATTTAGAAAAAAATGGGGTGAGCCTATGGCACGTCTACATAATTATATATTTTATCCTGGATGCTTAAGATCACCGAATGAAGCTGTTTTCACCAAATGATTTGCATTGATTTTTGCTGTAATAAACTTTTTCATTCCAAATATCTCGCTTCTCTGTACGCGTTTTTTTAAATGCGTTTTACTAGGAAATTTCGTACGTACGTAAAGCGTACTAAAATATTATACATACAATAGATATAATGTGTGATACGCACAACCAATCAGCGGTATTTCCGGACCGATACGACCTTGAAACGTACGTACGTAGCGTATTCCTTCCTAACAGGCCAGCAACGTGCTTGTGACTCCTGAGTTCATGGGCGGCGGTAGTCACTTTCCATCAGGTGACCCGTCTGTTCGTTAGCCCCTCTATCATAAAAAAAATCATTTTTATTCTTGTATGGTTTGTTCCAACTACTAGATATAGTGTAACTTTTACTACAGGCTGCCTTTTCATCGTAAATAACACTAGTCTCATCTCGACATACTGTATTTGTCTTTGTTTTTGTATTTGATTTAAAACGATAGCTGTAAATCGAAATTAAAATTATTAATTTTATAACTCTTCAAGTTGAAACAATATTTCCTATATAAAAGTAACCAACAAAGTCGTTCTTCTACTGTATCGTGTATGTATTCGTATTTCTTATGTTTGAACAGAATGCGAGTAAGCTGTGACGAAACGCATCTCCATTTCATACAACCGTATCAGTTCATAGATTCGCCCGAATGGGAGGCCAATCGTGAACAGTCTGACGATGTCTTCCAGGTAAAGTATATTTCATTCGAGTTTCTAATTTTGTAATTAGTTTTTCGTCTTTGCTTTAATATAAAATATTCAAATGTTATGCATATATAATAACTAAATTACAATGCAAGTACTATGTATAAAAATAACTTTGATTATATTATTTATTATAATAGGTCTTTACCTATGAAACGCAACAGACAGTCTCCAAGCTGCAAGAACTGGGGTTGGAAGCTCTCCCTCATCCGCCATACTCACCAGACCTTGCACCTACCGACTATTACTTTTTCCAAAATTTAGACAACTTTTTAGTGGGTAAAAAATTCAATTCCCGGAAGGCAGTACAAAATGCCTTTGAAGAGTTTGTTGCCTCCCGTCCAGCTGATTTTTACAAGAAGGGCATCAATAAACTGCCAATGCGTGTGCAAAGATGCGTCGATTGCATGGGTGATTACTTCGAATAACAGAAATAAAAAAGTTTAAAACAATAAGTACTTTCACTTATTGCATACAAAACGGCAATTTCATAGGTAAAGACCTAATATTATCTTACTTCGAGGCCTTTTAACTAACCTTTTAGTATTGTTGGTATACTGATCGCCTACATCTTTGGCTTTCAGTCTAGTTAGTATACTAGTAAATATACTAGAAAATTATACTCGGGTTGTTAAGACTTGAATTTATAAATTTGATGGAATAAACAGAACTGAAATTACTGAAACTCCTCATGTTATACAAAGTTTTTGTTTCCATCCAATGAATCGTTTATAGTGTATGTATACAAGTTTATATTTAGTCGCAAGTTACTTTGAACATAGAGTAAATTTTTGTAACGAAGCCAAAATCTTGCAATAAGTGATCATGAACGACATTTGTAAATAAATAGAAGAACAGCTTTAGAAGCAGATCAAAATAGTAACTTTAAGGTAAAAGTTCAATCGCTGATTCTCTTTTGATTAATTACCTGTTTCGTCAACCATATCACAGATTACACATGGATCACTATTTTAATGAAAAAATCCGCCCCTTACCTTTTATTTTCTATTAAAGAACAAACTTCATTTAAGTTCATTTGGTAGATATTAAATAAAATCCGAAGCTGGAAGTTTAATAATGTTTTTAAAACAGTAATTTATGAAGGCAAATATTAGATTTTTGCTTGTGCTTAGGTACTTCGGGAAGAAATGGAGGTAAAGGAACTCCTACATCTGAAAATATTAAAGAAAACCAAATTTTTATTTGTAGATTCTAGTATATTTTTATTATTAGATTATTTCCTCGATATATGTAGGTACAATGTTCAGATTTTACATAGCGAAGTGGTAATTTAAATGCTTCAATACTAAGCATACCTATTACTTTTACCTTTCAAATTGAATTCGTTTGCGTTTAGTGTCATTTTTTGCAAATTTAAAAAAAGATCACTAAAACATAACATAATAGGTAAGTTTTTAAACAAGGTAGACACGCTTAGGTAGGTTAGACATTTCAATAACTACATCGAAGATTGACACTTGGAATGAGTTGACATTGGAAGGGTCATAAGTGAGCGGATTACAAGGATCTACGTCTGGAATGTAATTCAACAACACTCACTTCACTTTATCACTCACACACACTTTATTTCACTTTTTTTAGTACTGAATTCTTGAATGATAAAAATAATAATTAAAATTAAGCACGACTTAACGTTAAATGGTTTTTGAGCTTGTTAACACAACAACTGTTATCCTGCATGCTGCCAATAATTTTGTAAAGTAAGACGATTTCCCACGAAAAATTTAGACGTACATCTAGTAATAAGTCCAGTAATAAGGAGCAATATTTCCCACCTTGCATGTATACGTCTTCGTAACTAGCAGGTTTCGTAAAAAGAAAAAAACAATTCTGATTCGAAACTGGTTTCGTACAAAGATCATTTTTTCCTTCTTCACTGGTTACGAACCATTGGTATCGATGGCGGCCGAAGGGTTCAATCGATACTTACAGTTTCACAGCATGCAATTCAGATGATGGCAATAATTTTCGCAGGTAAGCGTGATCGCGGAGGAGCAGTGCACGTGTGTATGCTGGCCGCGCATGCGCCTCGAGCGCGTCTTGCGTCACCGCCCTGCACTCAAGGTCGTCCTCGACTGTCTTATAGGTCAGTCCTTCTTAATATTATTGTTGCAAGCAAAACTTACTAAATCTCTTAACTTGATTTGTTACGTGACTATTACACTCGGCCGAAGGCCTTATAAGCTCTTTAGTTGTTCAAACATTCACCAAAGAAGAAAGTTAGAGTAAGTTGCATTATTGCATTTTTTGGAATAGTCAATCGATATTATACCTTACGGCTTCATCTAATGAAGAACTGTTAAAAAGGGTGTCTATTAAACTGGCCAAGTTCCTACATTTATTCATGAGCTGCCGGTTGCTACTAAACACAGTCAATGTACCTGAAAATAAATAACGATAGGGTATGGAATCTGCTTTCAATATTAATGAACATCACAGGCTGAATTCCCTCGTGATGTTGCTGGATGAGTTTGTAGAGTGAGGTTTTTACAAAAGGAACATTTACCACGTACGACTTGTATAATATTAACTGGGTTTAGTGGTTTGGTAATCAACTTTGACTCCCATAATTCGATAATGTAATGTAATATAATTTCGAGTTACAAAATTCAACCTCAACTTAACGGCTAAAGAAATCCAAGAACCTAGATTCTGAACTACTCAGGTACGACGGTTGAACTTGGAACAGTGATCATTCTCTTTGCACCAAAGCGACTTTAACAATTCTTATATCATTATCTCATCTCAGCCGAAAGACGTCGGGGGAAGTCCCCTAGTGCCGGACACATAAGGTTTTCAGGAAATAAAATTAAAACTACATCGAGAAATATGTATTTATTTATGAATTACTTAAATTAACAAAACATAAAATCAAAATCAAATAACAAAAATACAAATTCTGCGTAAACATAGTTTAGGAATGTTAAATAAGTTTTGGTAAAAAAATAAAGGACTTTGACATTGGCACCTAGTGCCGGACGGGTTGATCTTCAAACCCCAAGCGCCGGACATTCTAAAACTTTTAGCATCTATCACATATGTAGGCATCTCCACATTCTGGAACGTCTGCACATGCTTCATGAGCCCATTATTGGCATCTGGAGCATTGTATTCAGTCCTCGTCGTGGTCTTCTAAACACACTACACAAGTCGTTTTTTCTATATTTGATACTTCAGTTAACGGCTCCTTTCTGTTGTCGTTATTGCCACGTTTGGTTTGTTTACTCATGGGGAATCTTCATAGCTTCAGCCAAGTCATAAGCTAACTTCAAAAACTCGTTTTTCATCAGGGGCAGACATCTATTAGACAAATCTCTTATGTGGTCCACTAAAACTTGCTCATACTCGGGTGAGAAGGTTTTTGTGAATCTACCAACTTTTGGTTGCAACGTGACTTCTTTTCCACTGCTCAATGTCGTTATTTTATCATGTAGAGTACTTTTTGGAACATTGTAACGTGACGAAACTGCCCTTAAACTCATTTTTTTGGACAAAATCTTGTTCATCGCAGTTTTTAAACTTTGCTGATCCCATTTTCCTTTTTTTTTTCTCTCTTGCATTTTCAAATATCTCTCTCCTTCTATCCTGTAAAACAACAAACAATCATCATTACAATAAGTACAAATGCTTCATAAAAAAGCTAACCTATAAACTGTCCGGTGGTAAGGGACACCTTTGTGTCCGAAAGTAGGGGACAGGAAACGTCCAAAATTACGTATTTCATACTAAAACTGTTTAGGTATTTAATAAAAACTTTCACAATATAATAATTATAGTGAAACACTGTCTTTATTAACAAATAACAAAAACAATTAAGGATAAAACCATAGCAGTAATACTTACTTGAAATTTACGTGACGCAACGCTTTCCCACCAAAAACAGCAATTCACCGCTTCCACCACGACTGTGCGTCTCACTGGCAAATCGCGTTGCTTGATCCTGTCTCGCTACGTTCCCCCGCACCCCTTTCACCGATTAATAAATAGATCGCGTTGACGTTTGTCAAAATAGTATGAGTGTCCGGCGCTAGGTGCCGTCCGGCGCTACGGGACTTCCCCCTCCACTTCTGGACATAAGCCTCCACCAAGATTTGCCATAACAACCAGTCCTGTGCTACCTGCATCTAAAAATTTCCCGCGACCTTCACCAGGTCATCGGACCACCTTGTGAGCCCCACGCTCTCTGTCTTCCGGTCCGCGTTCGTTCCTCGAAAGCTCTTTGACCCTATCGGCCATCGTTTCTGCGAGGAATATGCTTCGCTCACTGCCACTTTAGTTTGGCAATTCTCCTGGCAATGTCGGTGACCTTAGTATATGAATGACTTTAACTGAACGCCTAAAATATATTTTACTTAAGGCAAAAGGTAAGAGCAACGCAGCTCTTCGCAAAGTACAAGAATACTCAGTCTAACAAAATCTAATATTAGGTGACCTATTTAGTCTACTTACTTACCTTCATTAATTATTTCTCTGTAAACGCTACCCTTTATTGGTTCATTAGTCGCTTACTTACACAAATGCTGATAGGCTTAATTTTTCTGAGCAAAAATTATTCTTGCCCTTTTTAATACTGCATTTATCTTTAAAACGAAATAAACTAATATTTGAATTGAAAAAAAATCTGATCATTTCTTACAAAAGTTCATTCGTATATCGTTCACGATATTTATAATTTACCTTTATTTTCTTATTCTTCTCTCTTCTGATTAAATAATAAACAATAAGTAGCATACCACATATTTCTGTATTCCAAAAAATTAAAACCTATCATTATTCTTCGGTATTATTCCTCTTAGGGTATCGCGCTGATTTATTTTTCGTTAAAACTAGAATAATATTTTATATAATAATTCTCGGGAAAACGTGATCGAGAGTCGAAACAAACTTGTGTCTGAAATGGAAACTTCCTTAGCGGAGGTTTCAGATTGGGGCCGACTAAATTTAGTCCAGTTCAACCCAAGAAAGACACAGGTCTGTGCATTCACCGCAAAGAAAATACAATTTGTCGTATCACCTCGGTTTGAGAACACCTCCCTAACTGCCTCAGCCAGCATCGGAGTCCTAGGCATCGACATATCGAGTTCAGTTTCGGGGTCAATTAGAGGGTAAGGTCAAATTGGCCTCGAAGAAGCTCGGTATGCTGAACAGATCGAGGCAGTAATTCACTTGGGCCCACCGCCTGCAGCTCTATAAGGCGCAAGTCCGGCCGCATATGAAACACTGTTCTCATCTCTATGCAGGGGCACCTCCCTTGGCGTTACGTAAAGATGTGGCTTTAGTCTGCATTCTCTATCGCATATATCATTGAGAGCGCTCCGAGGAAGTGTTCGGACTAATACCAGCCGCAACTTTCCGCCATCGTTCCACACGGCAAAATTTTCATCCTCATCACCTGGATAGTTGGCGCTCCACTACTATGCGCTTTTCGAGACACCATTTGCTCCGCACAACCAATCTGTGGAACGGGATATTGTCTGCGGTATTTCAGGACCGATACGACGTACAAATCTTCAAGAAAAGAGCGAACTCCTTCCTAAAAGGCTGGCAACGCGTTTGTGACTTCTGAGTTGCAGACGTTCATAGGCGACGATGGTAATTTTACATCAGGGAACGTATCAAACAATATCAAACAAACAATAACTGACAATAATACCATTGTCATCCATGATCAAATCCTGATTTGGTAGTAATGGACCACCTCGAGAGTATACCCTTTCAATTACAAAAATAATTTTAAAATAAAAAAAGAATTTTTCAAATCGGTTTTCAAATAAAAGGGTTTTGAGGAAACAAACATGAAAGCAATTGCTTAAAAAAAAATTTTTGTCTAAATGTTTTGTAATCTCATATATTAAGATCTTGTGCACATTGACTACACTACTACGCTGAGTGTTGTGGGTCCGATCCCCACATGGGACGACACTTTGTGTGATCCAAAAATTGTAAAAATAGAAGATATCTTAATTAAAATTCCCGTTTGTAATGTTTCTAAAAAGAACCCCGCCAGCTAAGCTAATTAATTTACAGAATTCAAAAAAATTAGCAAACTTTAAAATGCACAATTCAAACTAGCACGCATCAAGTAAAAGCCTCCTTTATACCGTAAACATTATTAGTTTCCCTTATATATAATAATATATATATGCCTGTATAATTGGCATAAAGAATTTTTGTGGTGTCAGGGGCTAACCTAACGAATTAAGGAATTAATGTAAAGCAATTTGTTACCATTTCTCCCTAAAAGTTCCTAACACGCCCACTGTGGCAAATAAAGGGACGATAAACGAAACTGAGTGATTTAATAAAATTTGTATGCTTAATGACAATGCATGTTTTGCCTCTTTTATTTCACTATCTGTTATACCTATAAACTAACTGGTGAGGCAAAAGTACAAACAGCTACGTTAACAGAATCAAATTTTTACGGCATCGTTACTCTAAAATCACATAGTTTAATGAGTATCAATTTAGAAGGTTTAAGAATCTATTCAGCTCCTTGGGTTTTTTTTCTTTGAAGGTCAACTGAAAATACTGAAATCACTAGTAGTCCCGTTAACCCCTCTCGATAAGCTACATTGCTTGTGTTAGGAGTGGGTTCACGTCGGTAGTGTACTGGTCAGGATTGTTATAATGTAGCAAAGAATGCCCTTAAACGAGATAAGGATGACTTTGGCAATTTTAGTCAGTTGGTCGAATTTCGACTACCAGGCAATTTCCAGTATGTGCAATATCGTTCAACTCTGTCGAATAAACCGATTAATTGTCCTGCCTGTGGTAAGTATTACCACAACTTGCTACCATAAAAATAGATAAATTTACAGCAGAGCAAAGAAATTCTTAACTGCCATATATGAAGCCTGAATTATGAATTTTCAACACCTTAAATCAGTCTAACTACACGAGCGACGCAAGATTTCAACAAACAATAAAGGATTTGGTTAGGTAGGTTGTTAGGTAGTTAAAGCTGAAAGAATTCGACAGAGAAGTGTTGCAAGTATAAAAATATTGTGCAATGAGTCATCCAGTGGCAGTTAATCTCTAACACCTATAATATCCATAATTAATCACCGATATTGTGAGTATGTGAACTAGATAGTGCGGATTGACCTTTAGATTTGAAGGTCCTTGCACTAATATACCCAATGAAAGATATTTTCTATAGTTACACTTGGATCCGTAATATGTGTGTAGAAAAGAACCGAATCTATTTGTTGCCTCTTAATATAGTAAAATTGGTATTTATTTAGCACCATAAAATTTACCCTTTGTGAAATAAAAATTTGGCTCTTCAAATTATGTACGTAGGCTACCCAAATTTGACATCCGTAATGCGTCTGCATGGTAAGGGCAGATAAGTTTAAGCACCTGAATTAAAGAATAAATTCTATGTTTAAATGTTTCAGGTAAAGACATAACCCACAAGTTGTACTCAGTCAGCGAGGGATTAGGTGCGGGAATGGTAACTGATAACGAGGGTCCCCCTTTACACCTCACACGCTCGGCCAGCGTTGACGCCGTGCACGAAGGAGCCCGCGGCAGACTGCGTAGTGTAGCATGGCGCGCACGCACCACTGCACCTAAAAGTATGTTATGTTGCTACAAAGTCTCTTTTTATTTGTGACAGTAATTTTGTAATCTAAGTTCTTTAGATTGCCACTAAATCACTAGTACAATTTACCAACTAAATGCTGGTATTTACTAGAAAGTAGTAGGTTTACCCAAATCCCTCCTTATGTTAGTTAGAGACGTGAAGTCTTCAATTTGTTGCGTATAACACAATTTAATTTTTAAAGGTACATCATACTGGCAACCAGTGGTAGCCCGTCAATTTCTTCGGCAATCACCGTTTGGGCGGTCCGTACAGCCTCCCCCGCGGTTGATGACTCAAACTTCTTCTGCAAGCTTACAACCTCCGGCACCCGCAAGGCGTCGGAGTCCACCGCGGCGCTCTACGTCGTTCCGCCGAGGGCGAGAAGTTAAGTTTGCGGAGATGACTACGTCTCCAGAGCCTACTGTGTGACGCGGGCCGCGGCTCCAGCCCGAGCTGGTGCCGCTCGTGTCGCCATTGACCTTCTCTCCCAACACGTCTATAAAAACACCATGACCTCAAACTGAGCGAACGGAAGCGCCTCACACCACAGACTTTTAAAACAGTTTATTGTAGGCTGATTTAGCTGTATGCCTGCACAAGAATGCTTTAACCTCTAAGAAATATTACTTAGTGGGAGGCAAAGGACAGATTTGCATTTAATTTCATTTTATATACAAGAAGAGCTTCCTGTTATAAAATATTTAAAATTTATTTTGTTATTCGTATAATATTAGCTCGTTCGCTCGAAGAGAAACTCGTATTGTGAAACTAAATTATGAACAAAAAACGTTGCGCTGATAAGAGTGTTGTGTGAGTTTATAATTAATTTAATGAGTGAATAAACCCTCTATATTGTGAATATTGTCTGAACTTGTAAAGCATTAGTTCAATTGTATGCTACAACGTAATTCGCGTAGTGCGCAAGAACTTCAAAAAACACTAAGTTAAGTAAATTTTTTATAATAACAAGTAAAACCACGTAAGTTATTCTACTTTCAATAAAAACACTGATAGAATAAAGGAATTGTAATTAAACTTAATTTTTTAAGCAATTAAAAATTTAACATAAATGTGAAATTCTAAAAGTATTTTAATGTTAAAATAATTAATTGTTTACTAGTGATAAGACGTGTTAAATTCGTGATAAAATATTGAAGTTACTGCGCGAATTTATAACTAATATTCATCATAAGTGTACTGTTTTAGCCTCGTAAGTGGTCATTAGGTTTTTTAACCTCAGAAAAGTCGATAATTGGATACGTACCTACTGGTTGTAAAGTAAAAACAGCAAAAGTGCCAGTAAAGCCATCTAGCACAGCGTTATATTAATCGTAGCGTGACGTTAACACTGCTTCTACTCGTAACTATTTATATAATCACAGATGGTTTGGGCCGGTTCTTTTGCCTGTTGGTAACTACATTTTATTTTTTTCGTCTGCCACCACCATCATTTTCCCAAAATAGCTTAATTATATACGATAAACGAAAGTAAAATACATTACATTTTCATTATTCATTTTAACATATGCAAATATTCCAATAGCCGGACTAAGTCGAATATTTTATGTTAAAAGTATAACACTTTTAACATAAAATATGGGATCACCTAAAACCCTATAAGCTGAAAGCTGTGATGCTGGTTACAAGCATTCCTAGCCATAAAACCCAGATCAGAACACAAATAATTTAGCCAATGTATGTCATGTTCTTCAAATTTTTTGACTATTTAAAGACTTTAAACTACCTACTTCACGTAATCAATGGATAACTTAGAACTGTGTAATTCGCTTTCGTTTCATACTGTATTACGCGTTTGTGTTAAGTTTGTTTATTTGATTATAAATCAATACACAAAATAACATACAGATATAAAACAGTTGGTAGAATTTGATGTGGGAAAATACTGTAAATATTTTTATTTAAGTTTATCTACGTATTACGTTTGCCTTATGCTGCGAACTAGTATTTTTTTAAAGCTAAAGCAAAAAACAAGCTACACTACTAAAATTACAACGAACTAAAAACTATCCTTTAGTAAGATTTAGAAGAGCGAGTGTAGGCTATAGGGATTATCGATTATCATGAGTAACAATTATAAAGAATGAAATGTTCAAAGAAGTTTAATACCTCTTTCATTTTAAATTTATGACAGACACGACACGAGAACACAGCTTTTTATTTAACTTCCTTCGCGACCTTAAATTCATCAATAGTATAGTTTTTTTTTGTAAGCATGTTGGTTTCAGAATGTCAACATGTATTCACTATAGTTGTACTCTGGTTTGAGTGTGAATTCAGAATGAATACAATTTGGTTTCAATATGTAATAATTTGAGAAACACTCTGTTTTTTAAATCTATTCACCATGGTTTCACATACATCCACTTTGGATACATTTTCGTATCTGGATGTATCCACTTTGATTAAAGTCTGCAAACGCGATGGGCAAATGTAACAAACGCACTCTGGAAATGCTCTGGAATCAGCATGGTAACAGAATGACACCATTACCGCTCTGTTTCCGGAGCGTTTCCAGAATGACTCTAAGGTCGCGAGGGTTATAGTTAAACTTATTCTTACATGCAGTGGCTCTATAGAATACCGACATTTCGAAACAATAATTTGTTTATCTCTAGTCATACTACTGTTCATTCTAGTGGAAAGACACGCGAGCATCGCTTCCCTGCTTAAAGTAGAGTACCTTTTTCTTAAACATTACTAGCTGAAAAACATTCTCGAATGACTTGAGTTGGACACACTTTAAGCTTGTAGTTTGTTAAATCGATTTATCAATATCTTGAAATAAAACTAAAACTGGCATAAAACTGTCTAAAATCGGTATGGAATTAATATTGCAAAAAGCATTTTAATCATGTATGGTTACGGTCATAAATAAATTAATTGGTCAAGAATATTTTCAGTATTTAATATTGGTTTGTGTGCTGAGTGCAGACTATCGAGCTGAAACCATTTAAAGACAGGTTTATCAGAAATCAGGTTTGAACAAACGCAAACGGGATTCGATTTCGAGTAGGAAACCTTCATTACATGTAAGCAAATAATATTTACAACAGTCCATAAACCACCAATTCGTCTGCGATACAAACCAATGATAAACGGTGGATCCAATATTACATTCGATTGTGGTGTGTACTCGACTGCGTTCGTATTTATATCAAAGATTAAATTGTTAGATGTGCTAAGACTCTTTAAAATATAACACTTTTATAAATTTATTTTTTAAGGAAGTAACGTTCATGGTCAATAAATTTTCGTTTTATTTAAGCCTTTAACTTACTTAATTAAATGCTGTTTTTTTTAATACGACTAACACGGTCATTGTGAGTGCGCTTTCTGGACGGTTTGCTAGGGTTTTATCTATGGTATAAATTTTTCTAACGATTTAAACCTTTGATATATATAAATTGTTTTTGAAGAAATGAAGTCACTAACGTTTTGAAAAAACAACGTTTAACATATCAAAAACGTTTTAATTGGTACTCTAAGACACACCCAATCGCGTTTAACGGCTAATAATTTACGGTTATTAACAATGCAAATCTATCAAATCCTACAGCCATCTAAATATAAATCATTTTAACCGTTTCGTTACAATTTTGAGTTATTACGTTGGAGTTCTTGATAATACAATAAATATTTAAACAATACAAAATGGAATTTATAGATAAGAAACTAACTTTAAGAAGTGTTCTGATGGTCAAAGTGCACATTTGAAATATCTCACATGAAAAATAAAATATTGAAAGTCATGTACCCACCTAAATGGTAAGAGCTGAGCTTTTAGTAAGTGTATTTACTCGTATTCATAGTATGTAGGCATGAAGAGAATTCATTATCGTTAACTTTATCTTGTTATCGTGTTAAACTTCATTTCATAAACCATCTGAATAATTTAAACGTCACGATTCGATCCAAATTTAATTGAAATACAATGCTATGTTTTGTCTTGACACAAATAAAAATGATTTCTTTAATGACAATGGGATGTAAGCTCTCTTTATTATTAAGTTTACTATTGTTATTTTTAACTGATCTTTAATCTCAGTGAGCGTATTTACCTTTAGTTACAAATATCAAAACTTGCATATAAAGACCGTGTTTCGGAAGCTCTTTAACTGTCAAAATGAAAATTAAAATACGTATGTTGTTTTATATGTTTTAGTAACCACCTTTGCTGGCAATACAATATCATATTCATACATACAATGCAATATTCATAAAGGCTAATAAAAATAAATAGGACAGAATTTTGTGATTTGGAATTAAGTACAGTCTACAAGTATTTTTTAGAATAACCGCTTTGATGACGGTTATTTCGAGGTATATTCAATTCAGTCCCAACTAATATCAATAACTTGTAGTGCCCTGTTTATTAATCTTGCAAAGCAAATACAAGCATCCAGTACTAGAGCTCAACTTATAGGGCAGACAGGAACATGGCACACTGAAAAAAGGATCTACCTTAGCGGATAAATAAAGGCCTTGACCTTTCATTTCTCATAAATGGTGTTAACTGCCTTAATGCTTTGGATATAAGTCCTGCCAACAGTGCAGGTGATAGAAAATCCAAAATTAGATAGAGAGTTAGGTGATGTAGTAAATGATATTAATTTTTGCTTAATTTATTACAACAATCAATGTTTAAATAAAGATTAAAGATATTTCACGTGAGTTCGAAGTATCTTTTCTTGTATTTATTTCAACAATTTGGATACCGAATACGTGATGTTTGGATAAATCATCATAGAAACATATTTACTACCGTCGATGTTTAGTTGATGTTGTTGCTTCAATACTATACGTGTACGTTGTCAGATTAGATGAGCATGTAGTTCGTACTTAATTGTACTATGATTCTTCGATAAATACGTAACTTTAAGAGACCGTACAACGAGGATAGATTAGCACTATAATCAAAGATAAATTGTTATTTTACAAATTGGTGTGATAAATGCAGAATTATTTTTTTGGCCATTTAAAAAGGTTATATAATGTCTGGCTATCAAGTAGATAAATGGGTAAAGCATTCCGGTACCTACAAAAAAGCAGTTTGAATTAAAAGTATAGTAAAAAGTCATATTGATACTGACCAAAAATAATCCATGATTCCAAGTATTATATGTCCCTTTTGTATGTTCTTTGTTTTTCAATTTCTATATGTGTATATTCTAAGACTAAGTTGAGGTAAGTACGGTACATCTACTTATGGTTCTAGTTACTCATGTAATCATGTAATTAGAATATATATTTTGTTAGCTCGTATATTTTCCCATTAAAGTCCTGATTGTACGGTATCTCACTCGAATACATATCGTTCTTCGTCTCGTCTCGTTAGTTCTAATGGTGTAGTAAAAATTCTCGGTGGCCTGAATTTCATTCAAGTAACGCAGTAGTTTTATACGAACAGGTTTAAATCATTAAGTATTCACTCCACACAGTCAACTTCATCAGACCTGTAACGCTTTCTTAATTACGTAATTCTTAGCAAAAGATGACCAGAGAATCGTGTGATATTGTAAAAGTTATTCAAAATGAGAGGGGGTATTCTTTAGTGGCCGTTCACATAGGCTAAGTGCAATGTCCCACAGTTCTCTCCGTACACATTTTTTGCAATTTACAAAAAAACGTTGGCCTTGCTCTTATGGTGTATTAAAATAACATTATAAAAGGCTAGTGAAATTTTGATAACTAAAAAACAACTAGACTTGAATTTTTTAATTACTAAGGTATAAATCATTACGAAAATAATTGTAAACTGGCTTGCATTGCATATTTTATATTCAAGGGCTTGTTAAATTTGTTTAGATCGTATCCCGATATACTTAAGTTAAGACGACTTTCAACAAAAAGCACTTACCTAATATTATCACGGAATTTGAAATGAACTGGAGCAAAAATTAAATTAGTGTTCGCTTCCCTTCTAATATCAACTCAAGTATTTTTGCTTATAAGAAATAACCGATTCTTTAAGGTTCATATTAATGTTTACGTGGTGTCACTTTTTAAGCTATCTTACCTGATCTATTCATGCTATAGGTTTCTTTTCTACTTTCTTGTTTAGTAATATAGATAACAATGGATTTGCCGTTCAGTCCACTTCATGGCTTTCATAAACTATTTTAAACTTCAGTTTTTTTCGGTGATCGGCAGTATTTAAATATAACCTTTACTTAAAACGAAACTGCATAGGGCCTCAAATAGTGACACAACTTTAAAACTACTAGTAGATATATCACAGAATGAGTACATAAAATCATGTCTTCCAACGTTTTAATGAATCTTCCTCCTCTCAATGACATGTAAACTTCCAATCCTTATTTTATTAGCATTAAATGTAAAATCACTTACATTTATTGCCATGCAATATTAAGATATGTAATCGCTTCATTGTATTAGTTCGTTAGTGCCCCTAGTTTGTTACTATTACTTATCTGTCTAAGCTACTTGTAAAACAACGGGAGCAATGCCTTGATTATTTAGCGCTTCGCATAGTACTATTTCAAAATAGGCTTTTGTACAATGTCTGTGTCTAACTAAAAAAATATGTATTCACCTATCTACTATGTACAAATCACAAATGTCAATAACCGTATATGTAAATATTTATTTTCTAAAGTATAATTAAATTAAACTGAAACTTTGTATTACATTTAAACGGAATTAAATAGTCGTGTACAAGGTTGTAAGATATCTTCTAGATTTGTGTTTCTACGTTTATAATTGTTTTCCAAACAAAATATTAAATTACTTCCAATGTTATATCACTACAGGATCTCATTTTAAAATATGTTAATTTAAATATAATGTTGTATATTCTGCAGTTTAATTAGATACAAGTAGGCAGTTACGATGTGATAAATAACGACATATTCATAGACATGTGAAAGGTGCAAGTATAAGTACGCCCAGACATTGTTTTAGCTATTTCAACCTATTCAACAGTGCAGCAAAAAAAGCAATAATAATAGTTAAATGAGTACCATATGCTGTTCTCTATTGTTCTTCTAATCTGTTTCTTTTAATCCTATCATGGAATATACAAAAGCTTACTTTTAGTGTAGTTAAAAAATCCTAAAATGGAGTCGAATGTTTCTAATTGAAATAAAAGAGTAATTTGACAACGGTATAATAAAACAAGAGGAATCCTCAAAATACTAATAGACAAAAAAAATGACGCGGTAAATCAATTAAATATTGCAAATTTTCGCATAACTATGATGCACGATTGACCACTCTTGGCACATCCACTTGCCCTTATTCTATACAATTTTATCCTTTTTTATGGTAGGCACACCGCCGCCCATAGACACCTGCAACTCTAGAGAAACAAGTGAGTTTTAATGTGATTTTTTTTGTCTTTCTGTACACTACACTAAAACAGATTTTGTATGTCTATCATAAACTAAAACAATGATCAGTGGCAGTTACTTGGCAGAGCGCCTCTGTGATACACGTTAGCTATTTAGATTAGGCGTCGTCGGTTGAAATAATCATGTACTCGCAATCTGTTATTCTCAATATGGGTTGCCCTGCGTCTCGTCATACATAACAGTTATTGATTATATTATGGTATTTATTCACTTTATTAACATGTTTATTATGTCTTTAATAAAACAATTGCTTATTACATCGTTTTTTAGTCATCGTTTTCTTCAATTTCTCCTGTCTTTTTAATATTAATTGTGTAACATTTCGATGATCTTAGTAACGTTACGTTACGTTAAACCCCGCAGGAATAGGGCTCTACAGGATACCGGCCTATATTGCAGTCAGCTACCAATATTTTCGGCGCTCGCGTTAGAATAGATTTAAGATTTCTCGCATCACATCAACAGCCTTTAATAGTCTACTGTTGGACATAGGCCTCTCCTTAAAAAGGAGTTTTTAGACTACTATACTACACCAGCCGAACGGATTGGTATAGGATTTTTGACAAGTTTTCCTTCTCTATGCAGTGCTGTTGCCCTGCGCAGTTTTCTCCCTTAGTCGCCTCTCACGCCACCCACGAGATGAAGAGGGGTGGTGACACTCCGTATTATATCCTCCGTATTCTTAATCCGTCACCACACGGATTAACTGTTAACTGTAAAACCTTCTGGATGTTCTCTGTACTCTAATCTGATAGGTCAAAAACCTCCTTTATAACGAGAGTTCTATGTCTAGCAGTGGACTACTAAAGGCTGTTGATGATTTAATCTGAATGATGGCGGTTTGTCGTGGTTAAATCTGAAATAATACTAGAGCGGGGTTTGAGCAAGTAACCAATAGATGTTTGAACTTAATATCTCATTGGGGTGCACGTAATCGCTTAGCTTTTGCACCCAACAATAGCACAACCTTCTAGCTACATAAGCTCATCGCCGTATATTAAATTTTACAATGTTACTGTCATAAACAAAGTTTGTTATGTAGGATTAGTTTTGGAAGAAATTTTTTATTCAACATTAGAAAACATGGAATGTGATTTTTATCCGCATTTATATTTATATATCGCAAATGTATCCCTTATAGAAACGATGCTTACGGCCTTTAGTTGTCCTAATACTAATGGGACCAGCATAGTCCACACCCCTATGCAGAAATGGTCGAGCAGGGGTACAACGAATAGATGGCAGAGTACCCATCATTTGTTTTTTTATGATTGCTCGTTGTTTGGTGCAAGGTACACATTGCCTAACGCATTTCTTGACCAGATTTCTCACTCCGATGATCCAGTAAGCTGACCTTAAAAAAAATCATCATTAGTTGAGGACCCCCGTGTAGTGTTTTATGATGAGCATCCAAAATCAGAAGGTGTGTGAAATGTGTTGAACTTGGTAGTAATATTGGATGCTTCAGCTGTTCATCAAAAGGTGCCCTCTCAACCCTTCCTTGAACTCCCATTATACCAGTTTTATCAAGATAAGGACATAGTGATTTCAGTCTTCTTGATTTTAACTTTAAATGTCCTTTCTCCACTTCTCCGTGTGGTGACGGATTAAGAATACCGAATCCCGCGGGTGTCGTAAGAGCCGACTAAGGGAGCATACTAGGCAGGACAACAGCACTGCAAAGAGAAGGAAAACTTGAAACAAACCCTATATCAACCCGTCTGGCCAGCGTGGTATAGTAGCCCAAAACCTCCGTTCTAAGGAGAGGCATATGTCCAGCAGTGAACTATTATAGGCTGTTGATGTTGATGATGTGTCCCTTCTCCTCTAATTGTGCTCGTTCAATTGTAATTTTTTGTGTTCTTATTATACAACAATCTAAAGCATTTGAATTTTTTGATTTTATTAATAAGTTGTCTTATTAGCTGTTCTATTTAAAAATCTTCGACAATAGCTACTACCCTTAACAATCTTTTTAAAGAGGAAAATCGTTAAAAAAAGTCGGTACCATCTGGTACGGTAGCGAAATGAGTTTCAACTGACTGTTCTAAATTTGTGTGAGCATCCATTAGTATTTTGCTTGTAATAGTGGTGTCCTTCAAAAATTGAGGTCCATAAAACCACAATGTATTATGCATCAACGACACTCCTCTAGAGGCGCAATCTGCAGGGTTTTCTCTAGTCGATACATGAGACCATTGCGACGCCTCCATCGTGGTTAAAATTTCCGATGTGCTATTACCCACGAACGTCTTCCATCTACTAGGATGACTACTTAACCATGCAAGTACAATGGTAGAATCAGTCCATGCCTTAATCTTGTCTTTCGATATTTTCAAAATATCGGCCACTTCTATCAAAAGTTTTGATAACAAAACTGCTCCACACAGCTCCAACCGAGGAATGCTCACTTGCTTTATTGGAGCAACTCTATACTTTGAGGCCACTAATGCTACATTGATACTATCTTTAACATCAGTTATTCGCAAGTAAACAACGGCAGCATAGGCGTTCTTTGAAGCGTCCAAAAACCATGAATCTCAATATCGTCACCAGCTTTCACACCAAACCAGCGAGGAATCTGAATATTAGCAATGAGCGGTTGTTCTTCAAGGTAAGTTGCCCATTCCTTTTGTAAATCCACTGAAATGCTTTCATCCCAGCCTACGCCTGCAAGCCATAATTTTTGGATGTATATTTTTGCTATCACAATACTGGGAGCTAACCAGCCTAGCGGGTCAAACAAGCGTGCTATGTCTTATATTTTAGTTTTTTTTTTGTTACAGATATTTTATTAAGTGGTGAAAGATTCAGCGTGTACTGGAAGAAATCCTTGTGACGATTCCAGGTAAGTCCTAGAATTTTAGTTGTGCTGTCCGTCATCATTTCTATAGCCTTTTCATAATTATTTTCTATTTTCTGTGTAGTATTTGCATTTATAGCCTTTCCATCTTCCTTGATTTCATCTGTATCCTTTTGTTTAATTGAATTATTTTTTTCTAATAATTCATGACTACTGCTGTTCCACTTTTGTAGAAACACACAAACCTCTTTTTCTCAATAAATCTGTAATTTGAATAAATATATCAACACCCTCCTTAACATCAGAGTACCGCGTCATTAAGTCATCCATATAGAAGTTATTGAGGACCCTATCCGCAACAAGTGTATACTGCGTGCTTTCATGATACGTTATTTGGTACAAAGTCCTTGCAACTTGATATGGTGCCGACGCTGTACCAAATGTAACGGTAACTAGTTCATATTCCCTTATCTCACTTGAAGGTTCATCAAGCCAAAGTATCCGCTGGTACATGATGTCTTCCTCATGAATCTGTACCTGACGGTACACTTTAATGACGTCAGCCACCAGTCCTATCGGATGTACTCTCCACTTTGTAACGATATGTCTCAAGTCAGCCAAGGTGGGTCCAACCATTAGGGTATCATTCAAAGAAACTCCTTTTTTATTTTTTTCCGATGCATTAAACACAACTCTTACCTTTGAAGTGGACTTATCTGCCCTGATGACAGCATGATGTGGTAGGTAAACGGCTATATCTTTTTATCATCATTTTTATTTACAGGTTTTATGGGGCCTAAATGTAAGTATTCATGAATAACATCTGTATACATTTCAAATCTTTGTTCTTCTCTACCCTTCTTTCTAATACCTTAAGCCTTGTTTCAGCGATAGCACGCGAGCTGCCCGCCTTACATGGAGGATCTTCGTCTCTGAAAGGTAAGCTCACGATATACCTTCCGTCTTCTCTCCTTTGTTCGTAGCCTTATAAAGCTCTTCACAGCGCAGTTCTTCTGGTGTGAGTATTTTTGACAATAGTTTACTTCGGATATCGGAATGTGCTTAACTAACTGTTCAGCTTCTCCACTGAGATGTGTTTTTACACGCTTTATATTAGCTTCACTTGTTTGTATATTTGTTTGTAACCGACTTCTTTGGGCGTGATTTTGACTGTCTTTAAACGGTCAGAATTCGTTCAAACTTTGTAGATATATCGAGGACCGATGACAATACACTAATTTAAAATAAAAATATAAAAAATAATAAAAAATAAGAATAGTTAAAAAAAGTAAAAAACACGCTTTTTATAGAAAACCAAACTAAAAAATAGAAAATAAATTTTAATAAATTTGAAAAAAAGCGTTGGGTGCCTGTTGTCAATAGGAAAAAGCACCCCACGCTTTTTTCAAATTTATTAAAATTTATTTTCTTTCTTTATTTATTGGAAAACACTTTGACTTTCGTTTCCCATAAAATATACTAAGTCCTTAACTAACATACAACTTAAAACTAAATAAAGGTTTTTTTTTCACAGGCAATAGAATTCTAAGCCCAAAGTTTCTTGATATTATAAGTTAAAATCTTCTTTAAAATAAAGTTCATAATCGTTGCTAAATGTGAAATTGTAAATATTTTGCAAAATATACGAATAAATAATTGTACTCACGATTGCACTTCCCTATTTAAAGTATAGGAACACAACAGTCGGCTTACTACAGACACCTCTCTGAGATGTCAAATAGCTGCACCTGTTGGTGGTGTCCTCTCTTGACAGCTTTGCGATGCGATGACTAGGCGTCATCACACCAGTTTGACGAAGATTCATCGACACGGACAGACGGCTGGCGTCCCCGAACCGCAACTCAAAACCGCAGTTTGTGGATCACACAAAGTGTCGTCCCATGCGGAAATCGGACCCACAACACTCGACTTACTTACTTAAACGGCGTGGCGACCGCTTAAACCACTGCGCCATCCATGCAGTCGTGTAATAAAATAAAGCAAGTTTAATAAAATAAAATAAAAAGCATTATTGGGTATAATGTTTTGAATCAGTTCAGTTTGATGAACGTATACTAGGCATAGACTCCAGAGTTATGTAGAGCTGCAACATTTCTGTTACCAAAGGGCCTGGTCCAAGTATCTTATCCAAATTTAAATGGCAATAAAAATAAAACTTGAATCAGGCGTATCAAAAAATTTGAGGTGTCGGCCCATGTCGTGCGGTGTTCCACAGGGGTCTGTTCTTGGACCCCTCTTGTGGAACATAGGGTACGACTGGGCCCTTCGCGCCGATTTCCCCCCCGGGCTGGGTGTAATCTGTTACGCAGATGATACACTGGTGACAGCCCGGGGGGCAAACTTCCAAGAGGCGGCGCGCCTGGCCACAGGGGGAGTCTCCCTGGTGGTCGGGCGCATTGAGGCGCTGGGCTTACGGGTGGCCCTAGATAAGACGGAGGCCCTGTTATTTCATGGGCCCCGTCGTGGTCCACCCCCTGGCGCCTCAATCGTGGTCAACTCGGTCCTCGTACCGGTTCGGGCCCAGATGAAATATCTGGGCCTGATCCTCGACGGGAGGTGGCTCTTCGACGAGCACTTCCGACAGCTTGCTCCAAAGCTGCGCTGCGTCTGCCCTGGGGCGACTTTTGCCCAATATGGGTGGACCCAGCGTCGCGACAAGACGGCTGTACACGGGGGTTGTCCGGTCAATGGCACTGTACGGTGCACCGGTGTGGGCGGCGGCTCTGACCGCCCAGAATAGGGTACGCCTCTGGCGCCCTCAGAGGGTAATGGCGGTCAGAGCCATACGCGGTTACCGCACCGTGTCGACGGAGGTGGCATGCGCGTTGGCCGGAACTCCCCCGTGGGATTTGGAGGCGGAAGTGCTCGCCGAAGTTTATCGGCGAGTGGCTGACTTCCGGGCGGAGAGCGGATTTCGCCCTCCGCCCGAGGATGTGCGCGAGTGGCGCGAAGCCGCTCGCCGAGCCACGATGGCTCGTTGGTCGTTCCGGCTGGAGACTCCACGCGCTGGCTTCGCCGCCGTGGAGGCTCTCCAGCCGGTCATCGCCGAGTGGGCAGGGCGGCAGCACGGGACCCTTTCCTTCCGGCTGACGCAGGTGCTTTCCGGGCACGGTTGCTTCGGAAAGTACCTGCACACGGTCGCTAGGAGGGAACTGAGTCCAGCCTGCCACCACTGCGACTGCAGTGAGGACTCGGCCCAGCACACGCTGGCGGTCTGCCCCGCATGGGCGGCGCAGCGCCGGGCCCTCACTGCAGTCATCGGAGTGGATCTCTCGCTACCGGCCGTAGTACGCTCCATGGCCGGTAGCGACAGTTGTTTTACCGCGGTCGCATCCTTCTGCGAGGTAGTAATCTCGCGGAAGGAGGCGGCGGAGAGGGCCCGGGAGGACGACCTCCACTCGGACCCGATCCGCCGCCGGCGAACCGGGCGGCGGAGGCCCGCCTACCACAGCCTCATGCCGCCCTGAGTGTGGCCGCGGGTGGACGGGGTGGGTTTCCCCTCCACCCGCATTAGTTTGGCCAGCCGCGAGGGGGCGGCGTCCGCGTGTGCCGGACGTCGCCTAAAGAGAGGAACAACATCGAGACGGAGCCCGCACCAGGAGCGGGCTGGCGCTAGGAGGGGTCCGGATGTCTTAACAACAGCTGTTCCCGGATCCCTCCTGTTACAGGCGCAGAGTGGCACACCGTGTGGTTTTAGTCGGTCCGAGTCCGACACACCACCCCGCCGCAAACCCCGGAGGGGTGACGGTCCGAGGGGATTTCCACACGTTAAAAAAAAAAAAAAAAAAAAAAGGCGTATCAAAAAGTAGATAATCACCAACTTAGAAGCTTGTTGTATGTCGTGTCAAAGTTTGAAATCAATCGGTGCTTCTTTTTGAGTTTTTGAAGCGTACATGAAACAAATGTCACAAAATAAAATAGCTCCAGTAATAGTGGAATTTTCAGCGACTACACTTAAAGAAAATATGTTGAAAACCTCGAAAACTTTCAATAAGGAGAACAAAAGAGAAACTGAATACTGGCCATCTGAAGTTAGCCAGCGAATCTAAACCTATTTTTGTTTCGGAGTCCCTCACTTCAAATGGAAGGCGTTTATATTTCCTAGCACGTCAATCTGTCAAAAACAATAAATACGCAGGCTGCTGGACTTCGTATGGAAGGGTATATATTCGACAAAAAGAAGGTGGCCCATCAAAATTGATCTCCTGTGAAGCAGATTTGACTACACTAAGGACACAATGACTCATATCCATATACTATTTAGTGAAGTCAAGATATATAATTTTAAAAGCTAAATATCACGATATTACTGTAGGCTACAAATGTATTTACCATTATCTTTATGTTATTTTAATAGTGGACTTGCATTTGTCTGTCTACACTCTCAAC